ATGATGAACGATGATGAACGATGATGAACGATGATGAACGATGATGAACGATGATGAACGATGATGAACGATGATGAACGATGATGAACAATGAGTGTCCAGTAATTGTTTTGGTAGATATAGACTCACAAGGAGGGGAAGGGAGGTAGGTTAGTGGTAGCTGGTCAGTTGGCAGTTGGGAATAATGCGTGGGAAGAACCTGAACCTCGCCGGGCCCGGCCCATCGGCAGGAAAAACCTTTCCGCCGTCAAATAAAATCACCGCGGCCGTTGATATGTAGACGGACCAGGTCTAGATTCAAGGTCAATTAACACGCAGAAAAGGGGAGAAAGGGCTTCTTTCTGTGTAGTGTACCACGAGCCGAGTGAAATCCTCTCCCTTCGACTTGGTCTGCTCCCTCATCATGGCCAAGGTCATCTTCACCCCGTGGAAGGAGCAATCCCAATTACTGGTGGTGCGGAATCAATTCTACCCTCCGCCGCTATACGATGGCCCCGACATGCGATCCAGGGCCTGCGCCACAGTAAGTGAGAATGCCATTCCATTCCATTCCATCACATCACATCCCATCACTTCCCGTCCCCTAAAGCTCCCGCGCCCGGAATCCCAGACACCCGACCTACATGTTCTTTCTTTCTATACCGGACGATATTCAGATAAAAGAGAGAAGTAAAAGGCTAACTCCACTTTCCAGGTCAGCGCATGGAAGCTGCGAGGCAACCTCCCCCATCCCGTCGAGGCGACCGCCTTGTTAACGGATGCGATTCTCCATGATGACGCGCAGAAGAACTCCATCTTCTCCATTCGCGCGACCTATGCGGCTGCTTTCTGTCGGTATGTTTTCACTGGTTCTTTTGGCGCTTTTCTGGAGGTGATTCTGCCAAGTGCGGAGGAGCTTGAGCTTGTTCTGTTCTCCCCTTGCCACAGCGAATCGTTTTTTTTTTCTTTTTTATATCTATCTTTCTTGTACCGTTATTCTTGTGGCTGACCACTTCGCACAGCTTCGTAACGGGCCTCGTCGACTCCAAGCTCGGCGGTGTCCGCCGGACCATGTTCCAGCGCGCCCTGGACCTGGGCCTCCCCGCCTCGTTCGTGGAGCTGCGGCACGAGGCCACGCACCGCGAGCTCCCGTCGCTGACGGTGCTACGCAACGCGTCGCAGCGGTCCCTGGAGTGGCTGTGGGATTATTACTGGGCTAAGACTGAGGCGTCGGTTCCTGGCTTGGGGGTCGCAGGGGCTTCTGTGAGTGGGATGCAGGAGAAGCGCGCTGCGGGAGGGGAGGAGGCCGAGCAAGAAGAAGAGGAAGACGAAGAAGCCGATCTCGAACCGCTCAAGTTGGCGCTTCGGGATACACTGGAGCAGAATGTGGCCGAGGGGGAGCAGCAGCAACCCCCGCGCAAGAAACGCAAGGTCCAGCAGCATTTGAAAGCCGTTGCCGGTAAGGTGGTGTCGACGTGTCGGTCGTCGGGGCGCGGGGTGGCTGCTTTATCGAGTGTGCTGGTGCAGGATTCGTTCTTGGTTCCGGGAGGCCGGAGGTGAGTTTTCTATTTCTCTGTTCGATTCTGCTCGCGAAGGGAGGGTGGGAGTGCTGATCAAGGTCTACAGAATGGGAGAGGCAATGGCTGCTCAATTCGACATGTGGGATCCGTTATTGCAGATGATCGCAGATGCGCAGCCTACGTTTTTGTCGAGTCTGACGGAGGAGCTGGCCAATGCGCTGGCATTCACGGCGCGGCCGGACCAGGCGAAGACGGATGTCCGCTGTGAAGGTGCCTATTTGTGGCTGGACCACATCTTGGGGTCGGCGCAGTGGGAGTCGCGGAGACGGCTGGTCTCGTATGCGTATATGCTGGCCGTGTGTGAGCAGGTTGCGAACCACTGGACGGATTTGCTGAAGGAGAGGCTGGCGGAGAGACAGGACGAGGAAGCGCCGTCGGTTGATGGCGAGGGTTCAGGGCGCACGACGAGGTCTGCTGCGACGACACGGAAGATGGTGCACAACGCGGATGTTTTATACGCGTTGAAGCGCATAGGGATTAAGTATATGGGCCCATGTTAAGATCTCGGACCTTTGGGGAGAGTTGTATAGATGGAGAGATATCTTGTTTCACACTAAGCCTGTGACAGGCTTGCTATGAAAAAGTGTTACCTAGTAATAAAATAAATGTCAACAATCTTCACCTGCCATTGATGGTTGTATACCGACTCAGCCACACGTGGCTGAAGCGGGCCGCAGCTGGAACCGGGTCGACCTATGAGGTAATCTCCAATCACCGCTTACGGTTGTATCTCATGATGATGGATTAACAATCTCTCCCCCGCATTGCAATCAGCTGCTCATAATCAACCGGTGCTGTCAACCCCTCATGTCCCTAAACTTCACGAGAACGATCCTCTCAGCTGCCAGATTCCGTCCTACGAGGTTCATCCACCCCGCATCCGCCAGAGCCATGCATATCCAATCGATTCCGATGTGTAAGTTTACCGGAATCATGTTTACACTTCTCTTCTGTGTGTCATGGTTGCTAATTCCCGTCGACAGGGACCGGGAAGGGCAACAACTATGCCTACCTGGTCACCGACGAGCCCACCAAGCAGTCGGTCATCATCGACCCGGCCAACCCGCCCGAGTAGGTTTACAGTTGATGTTACTGTACAGTGTGCATCGCTGACCGTGGTACTAGGGTGACCCCCGAACTAGAATCGCAGATCCAAGCCGGCAAGATCGACCTCACGGCGATCGTCAACACTCACCAGTGAGTTTCGAGTTCCAGCTTGTGCTCTCCATGTTCCACAACAATGCTAACGCAGCCCAACAGCCACTGGGACCATGCCGGCGGCAACAACGAGCTGGTCAGTTTGCAGTCTCCACCATCAACGACCAACCAACCTTGTCTCCCCCCCCGGATTATCGGCTGCGAACTAAACTAACACCCCTCAAGCTCAAAACCTTCGGCAAGCTGCCCGTCATCGGCGGCAAGGACTGCCAGTCCGTGACGCAGACGCCCGCGCACGGCGAGACCTTCCGGATCGGCGAGCGCATCGCCGTCACGGCCCTGCACACGCCCTGCCACACGCAGGACAGCATCTGCTATTTCATGCAGGATGGGGACCAGAAGGTGGTATTTACGGGGGACACCTTGTTTATTGGGGGTGAGTTGATTCCCATCCCCTTTGGTTAGCAGGGAGTTGGTGGTGTGTCAGGGGAGTGTTCGAGCTAATGATGTATGGTGCTGTGCTGCAGGATGTGGTCGGTTCTTCGAGGGTACGGCCCCGGAGATGCACAAGGCGTTGAATGAGACGCTGGCGGCTTTGCCGGATGATACGAAGGTTTATGTACGTTTCCTTACCCTTTTCAGAGAGAGAAAGAGAGCGAGAGTCAAAATGGGTGGAGGTGGGTCTTTGTATGAGTGATGCTGACTGGTCTCAGCCGGGACACGAATATACCAAGGCCAACGTCAAGTTCTGTCTGGCGGTGTCGCAGTCCGAGCCTATCAAGAGGCTGGAGGCGTTCGCGGAGGCGAACCAGGAGACGCAGGGGAAGTTCACGATTGGGGATGAGAAGGTAGGTCTTTTTCTTGTCGGAAATGTGGAAGGAAGGCTGATTTGGATGTTTGTTCTAGCTTCACAATGTGTTCATGCGCGTCAATGTAAGTCACCTGCCTTGGATGGGTGGAGATGGGGACTGACGTCTAGTAGGACCCCGAGATCCAGCAGAAGACCGGAAAGACGGACCCGGTTGAGGTGATGGCGGCGTTGCGGGAGATGAAGAATGCCATGTAGGGTGTGCCTGTATATTCTAGGTTGAATGGTAATGGGTGGGCGATGTGACGGATGTAGTATGATTGACAGGTGGAGAAGTGGAAGCATTGGGCTGTCCATACTAGTAGTGAACTATGCTTAAGACTGTTTGTTGTCACTCGGGCTATTTAGCCCCATTCAAATCTCTATCGATATTCTATAGTCCCAGCCAAGTAACCCAGCTTCCACAGCAGCATATGACCATACCCCGATCCAGCCAACCCCCTCTGCGCTTCAATCGCCGAAGGAGTCCTCGCCGAAAGTGACTTCGCCGACGTTGACCTTGCAGTGAAATCCCGCTGCCATGTTTACATACTTTAGCATTGTACTCAATCATCGTGACGTCAGACATCAGACACCACATGCTGGAAGAGTATAGAGAAGCTACCACCGTATAAGATAGCTTTCTTTACTCAAGCACTGTTTCTCATACCTCCACACCCTATTCCCAGGCAAGTCCATCGACCACAGCAACAGCAGCAGCAGCAGCACAATGTCCCACCACCACGACGACCACCACCCCGCCTCCCTCCCCGGCGACCCCCTCAGCACCAAAAGCCGGGTGCTGGAGACCGGCGCCAGCATGGTGCAGGACTTCGCGCCGGTCAAGAACATCTGCGCGCACCTGAACGCCTTCCACGTGTACGCCTCGGACAAGACGCGCTGCGTAGAGGCGAACCACTACTGTTCACATATCACAGAGGGTGAGCGCCCCCAGCAAAGGAACCCAGCACTTCCCCATCCCATAACCTCCTCCTCCCCAGCCTCCTTTCCCCCAAAACTATCCCCAAACTAACCCCTGCGACCGAACAAAGATATAAGACAATGCCTCCTCTACGACAGCCCGTCCCCCACCGCCCGCCTACTGGGGGTCGAGTACATGATCACGCCCAAACTCTACAACACCCTGCCCGCGGAGGAACGGCGACTCTGGCACACGCACGAGTTCGAGGTCAAATCGGGGATGCTGGTCATGCCGGCGCCGGCGGGGGTGCCCCAGGCGCTCTGGGAGACGGCCGAGACGGCCGAGATGCAGGACATCGTCCCGCTGTACGGCAAGACGTATCATTTCTGGCAGGTGGATCGCGGGGATGCCGTGCCGATGGGGGCGCCGGAGCTGATGGCGAGTTTTACGTCGGAGGAGCGCGTGAAAGTGGCGAGGGAGGGGGGCATGGAGGAGTTGTGTCGGGGGAGGGATGAGAGGTTTGGGGTCGATTGGAGGCGGAAGAGGGAGGTGAGGGAGGGGTTGCGCGGGGTGGAGGGGGGGTTGCATCCTGGTGAGTTTTTCCTGAGGGGGGGGGGGGGGGGGGGGGGGGGGGGGGGGGGGGTGGTGTTTTTTGGTGTTTTTTTGGGGGGGGGGGGGGGGGGGGGTGGTGCTGGTGGTGGGAAGCTAATTGTGGTTGAATAGATGCGGATGCGATGTGGGAGGAGTGATGGGATTCTTACGGGGTTTATGATGAGCTGAGAATGCAAAGATGATGATTGTGATGGAAAGCTTCAATTTTTCTAACCAAATTTACGATGATATGATTGTCTCCCGTCGTTACCACCCAACCGCCCATTCCCATAGTTAAATGGGGTCCTGGTCGGGCTATCGTTCAGGGAAGTCCCCCAACCCCGTAGGGTGAGAAACTGTACAATTCATCTTGCTTCACTGTCCACACTCACGCGCTCTGGTGTTGAATTTCGGCAGCGGTGAGCTCTAGCAATTTTAGAAGCGGAACTACTTGATCGGTAGCTGTTGCAGGTCAATGCAGCATGAAGCATTGAACCGGCAAAGCCGAGTCGAGTCGAGGCAATCGACTCATTGTCGAGTCTTGCATAGCAGCAGAAAGGAAAGAAAAAACTTCTGGGAAAGAGAACGCTACCCGCCCTTTATATACCCGATGAATCACGTGCCCGGTCCCCCATCCCCTCCCCTCCGCTCCGGCGCGGGACCGACCCTCCTCCGTCCGCAGTACCTCAGGTACACACATATAGTAACCAGGCGAGAGCATCAACCACACAGTCTAAGGCAGCGAGCAGCGGCCAACGCAGCAGCGCAATGGACCGCCTCCTCCGCACGACCCTCAAGCGCAGCACGCCCGCGCACGTCTTCCGCCTCACGCTCAACGGGCTGGGCCTGTTCTGCGCCTGCACCCTGGTCTGGGAGCACCTGGTGACCGTGCAGCTGAGCGAGGGCCCCTCGATGTACCCGACCTTCCACCCGCGCGGCGACTACCTGCTGATCTCGCGCGTGCACCGCCACGGCCGCGGCGTCGCCGTCGGCGACGTCGTGCGCTTCTACCACCCCTCCTTCCTGGGGGTCAACGGCGCCAAGCGCGTGATCGGGCTGCCGGGGGATCTGGTCTGTCGGGATCTGCCGTTTAGTACGGAGGCTGGGGGGACGGGGGAGATGATTCGGGTGAGTCTTTTGTTGGGGGGGTCAGAGGTTTTGGGGGTTTGGGCGCTTGGGGGTCAGGGCTTCCTGCTAACGCTTTCGTCCCCGTGTAGGTACCCGAAGGACATGTCTATCTCGCCGGTGATAATCTCCCATGGTCGAGAGACTCGCGAAATTACGGACCCATCCCCATGGGGTTGATTAATGGCAAGATCGTCGCGAGGGTGTGGCCCCCTTCGCGGATGATGTGGGTGGAAAATACGTTGAAGCCGGCGCAGTTGGATTGAATGGAGGATTGAAGTGAACGTAACGCACTGTACAGCGTTCCTACAAGCATGGCTGGAGTTTGGAGTTGGGAAGGAAATTTGTGCATATTCATACATAAAAGCTCTCTTGTACAATACTACAACACTCGAAACAAAACCTAAAAATCACCGCATGTTGGCCGAGTTGCGGCGCTTGTAAGGAAGACGCTCGGCAGGCGCCCGGCGGAGCTCGATCTCGGCGTCGGCATACCCAATCGACTTCATCACCTCATACATCGAGTCGTCCCACTGGGTGCGGAACAGGTGCGCGCCGATGGGCTTCAGCTGGTACCGGGACTCCAGGGCGCGGGCCAGCAGGTTCTCGCGCGCCGTCTCCTTGGCCTTGACGGCCGCAAAATCCAGGGCCTTCGACTCCTTCTGCTCGAAGATGATCATCGCTAGACGGTGGTAGGGGCTGCCCTTCTGGGCCACCGGGGGCGCCCACGGGAAGACCACCTGCGACTCGGTCGACAGCTGCGACAGATCCACCTTGGTGTTCACCGCGGAGATCGGCACGTTGACGGCCAGGTAGTGCATCTTGAAATCGAACCCGTCCGTCTCGACGTTGGGCACGTCGGGGTCGACGACGGCGATGGTCACCAGCTTCTCGCCGGCCTCGAACATCTGCACGTTCAGCTTGGGCGCCTCCGTGCTCAGCTTCGAGTCGACAAACTCGCCCGGCTGGATCTGCCGGCGGCCAAAGTAGAGCTTCGTGTCCAGGGTGGGTTCGCAGTGCGGGATGACATCCGGGATCACCTTCATCTGTGTGATTCTTTGCACGAGAATCTTGCGGCGGTACTCTCGCCATTTGCGGTCGGCCAGGAATCGGTAGATGGGCTTGCTCATGTCACCTGCAACAAACAACAGCGGCCCAATTAGCCTAGCGGAACAACAACAACAACGACAACCTAAACCGAAAATTCTCACCTAGTCCATCCTCAAACTTCTTCTTCACCAGCGGGTCGTTGATATCCGCCTGAATCTTCAGGTGCTCCAGGTGCAGCTCCATGGCCCGCAGCTTGGACTTCTTCACCTGCTCTCCGCCGGCTTGCTCGGTCGACAAACCTTCAAGCCTCGAGATCTTCTCCCGCATCGATGTGATGTCGCGTAGCTTCTCCTCGCGGTCCGCCACCAGGATCTTCCGGGCCTCCTGGAAACATTGGTAGGGCAGCTGCTCGAAGGGGATGTTGAGAGAGTCCTGGAGGGCCACGCGACGACGGCGGGATCCAATCGGGGCGACACCCTGGCGCAATAGCTTCCGCTCCAGTCGGGGGTTGGAGACCGTAGCCGGATCGGGGGCCTTGTAGAAGGGTTGCGACCTGGTCTCGGTCTGAGCCTCTTCGCGCGCCAGAGCGGTCGATTGGAAGGCGCGGGTGGACTGCAGCTGAAGACCTGGAAGACCCTTGGTGTAGGTCTTCTGCAGGCATTGGAGCAAGGGCTTCGAAGCCCGCTCACAATGGGCCATCTTGAGGGATAAGATGAGGTGAAATTGAGGGGATTAGAGAGGGGAGAGGGAAGGAAGAGCAGGAGCTGCTGGTGGTGGTGGTTGTAGTGGTGGTGGTAGTGGTGATAGAATTCCCCAGGTCAAGCCGGCACTGCACTGGGCAAAGTCGAGAGGTTTCCTTTCCTGGCCGGACGGAACTTTTTTCGTCGGGTTTGGCCAAGCCTCAAGGCGGTTTAGTGCCAGAACCACCCGAACTTTTGCTGTTGCTTCTCCCCCTCTACCCTCCGCCCGCGACCAACCCTGCGATCGTCTGTCCTCCATTCAGGTTGATCCTCGAAAGGATTCTCTTGCTCTGTGTCATCTACAATGGCTGGAACTGACGCTCTTCGCGCCCTCCTGCGGCTCACTCGCAGCTCGGGGGGTCTGCTCTCCGGGGCTGAGACAACCACGGTAGGACGGCCTAATTTCTTCCTTGGTCTGATTCGATGTCATTGAAGATCCAACGAAAAACGTATAATTCATAACGCATACTGACAACTTTCTTTCTCGCTGATAGCAACGATGCCTGACCAAGTCTCTGTCCCGCTCCATGGCCACCGAGGCCACCGAGGCCACCGCCCCCATTGACCACCTGACGCGGGAGGTCCCCAAGCCCGTATGGAACCCCGAGCCCGTCAAGGCCACCACCTACTCGTTCCCTTCGATGGAACCCCTGCGCTTCGTCGAATACCCCCGCAACCACCTGTCCATGGCCCTCCGCAAAGACATCCTGCACCGCGCCGTCATCTACGAGGGTGACGCGACCCGACAAGGTACCGCCAGCACCAAGTGGAGGAAAGATGTGTACGGCAGCAACAAGAAGCTGTTCGCCCAGAAGGGTACCGGTAGAGCGCGTGCCGGTGACAAGAAGTCCCCCATCCGGAAGGGCGGAGGTGTCGCCTTCGGTCCTCATCCGCGGGACTTCTCGACGGACCTGCCCCGGAAGATCTACGACCAGGCCTGGCGGATAGCCCTCAGTTACCGCTACAAGCGGGGCCAGCTCATCATCATCGACAACGAGATGGCGCTGCCGGAGGACGCCACCCCCTATCTGGTCCAGCAGATCTTCAAGACCAACTGCTGGGGTCGGGAGTTCGGCCGGTCGACGTTGATCACGGACCAGGTGAACGATAACCTCTTCAGTCTGGTGCGCGAGGTGGGCGAGCATGCGAAGATCCTGGACCGCCGCGACGTGGATGTCAAGGATCTGCTGGAGACGGGCCGTCTGGTCATCGAGAAGCAGGCGTTGGATAGCATTCTGGCCCAACATTCGAGGGACTTGCAGAACGAGCCCAGGCGGGCCTTGTATTGAATTGCAGTTTAGGTTGGCGATGGGGATTTTTCTTTGTGTTTGTTTGTTCGGTATGGGTGTGATTTTGCTTTCTAACCGAGACATGGTTTCTCTGATTGTACAAATAGAATTGAGCAATGTGTATGATGGGTCCTAAATCTGTTCGTTTCGAATTGTATTGTCCTACGTGTGTATCATGCTATGGAGTGTGAGTGTAGGTTGTAAGTAGTGATGGTGGTATCAGAGGTGCTGATGGATGCTTTGAATCGGAGCCATTGGTTCCGAGATGTCTGTAAAAGACACGACCCATTGAACTTTACTAGACCAACTAAACCATAGTCGGGACGAATTCATTTCAAAATCAAGAAAATCAAGAAAGTCACGGCAATGTGTTGCCGTTGGGCGATTGCGCCGCGGCTGGCCGGCGAGGAAAATCATGGGCGCGAAAAAAACTCCGAGGTCAATTCAAGGTTGCAAAGCGGAGAACCCGAACGAAAGCTGCTTCTCCTCTTCCTCCTCCTATTGATTCATCCCGAGTCCCTCCAGTCCCTCCCCTCTCTTTCCCCCCTCCTCCGTCCCTCTAGTCCACTTCTCCTCCCCCCTTAAAACCCGGCTGTGGTCTGCCTCATGTTGGTCCGACACAGTGCTTGCCGGTTTTCAACGCCGTCGAGCTGGATCTCGCGGCTTTCACCAGCCACCACCATGCCTCTCCGCGCAAAAGTCACTAACCGAGCCTTCACGGCTTCTGCTACCAATGTACGCTCAGTCAATTGTCTTAATCGAGTTTGGGATGCTAATCGATTCCAGATGAAAAGCGCCCCCACCCCCGCAGAGGACGACGTTTTATTCAGCTCTCTCTACGGCGTCCGGCTGATCGAGCTCAACCGCCCCGAGAAGCTCAATGCCTTGAACCGGTCGATGGTCGACAAAATCACCCCTCGCCTGGAGGTATGCGAGTGTCCCTCCGATTCGATTCGCCCTTCGAGTGGCCCTTTGGCGGGTACTAACAAGCTTGATCGATCGAATAGGAATACAAGAAGTCTCAGCTTGCCAACGTGATCATGGTGGCCGGAGCCGGCGACAAAGCGATGTGCGCCGGTGGAGATGTTGTTGACTTGGCCGAGCAGAACAGAGAGAGTGAGGACGGGCCGAAAAGATCCAGCGAGTTCTTCGCCAGTGAATACAAGCTCGACCACCTCATCGCCACCTACCCCAAGCCCTTCATCTCCGTGATGGATGGCATCACCATGGGCGGCGGGGTGGGCCTCAGCGCCCACGCGCCGTTCCGCATTGCCACCGAACGAACTATCTTCGCCATGCCCGAGACCAACATCGGCTTCTTCCCGGACGTGGGCGCCTCGTTCTTCCTGCCCCGGCTGGACGGCGAGCTGGGCACCTACCTGGCTCTGACCTCGGAACAACTGCGGGGGCCCCAGGTCCTGTTCGCCGGCATCGCCACGCACTACCTGCACTCGAGCATGCTCGGCAAGCTGACGCAGCGTCTGTCCGAGCTGGTGTTCCAGGACTACGCCACGCTGCCGGAGCGCCTGGACCTGGTCAACAGCACCATTGCAGAGTTCTCGACGGGTCTGCCGGAGTCGACCACGGTGGATCTCGGCGGCGCGAAGCGGGAGGCCATCGACCGCTGCTTCGGCCACAACACGGTTGAAGGGATCATCGAGGCCCTGCAGCAGGCGAATACGAGTTGGGCCGAGCAGACCCTGAAGACGCTGGCCAAACGCTCGCCCACCTCCCTCAAGGTCGCGCTGCGCCAGATGCGCGTCGGCAAGCAGTGGTCCATCTCCGAGGCCTTCCAGCGCGAGGCCCACATCGCCGCCCAGTTCATGCGGCACCCCGACTTCAACGAGGGCGTCAGGGCCCTTTTGGTCCGCAAGCGTAAACCCATGTGGCAGCCTGCCTCCTTGGAAGAGGTCACCACCGACATGGTCGACCGCTTCTTCACGCTCCCGGAGGGCGAGTCCCGCCTCGAGCTGCTGAGCGAGCACGACTACAACGACTACCCCTACAACTACGGTCTGCCCACGGAGGCGAGCATCCGGAGGTACGTCCGCGGCGAGTTGAGCAAGAAGGATGATCCGATCGAGCACTTTGTCGGCCTGACTGGCGGCAAACCGGGTGTGCGCGAGAAGGTGACTGAGGTTCTGCAAAGAAAGGCCCAGCGGAGCAAGGATGGCGTCTGGCTCTGGAAGTAGGAAGAGTGGAATCTTGAAAGAAAGCACTGAAAACGGAGTCATCATGTAGCACCGGTTTGGTATTGTGTATAGTTATGTGTATGTGATTGGGAGTTTCTCTTGTTCCGGACTGAATATTTGTGGGCTGTGTTTGATACAGTTAGACTTAAAGTTTTCTTGATGGTGTTGATTTGCGTCTGTAGCTGGAGGACTGTAGGGGAGTTTGATAATCACGGAGTAGAAAGAGTGCATATTGGGGCCTGCTCTTGTAAACTGACTGTACTTCCCCTGTGTATGTGTCCGTCTAGACATGCACGCACCTATTCTACATGAAAGAGACAACCACCAAGCCACACCACCACCTACACCCACACAACAACAACAACACCCAGCCATCAAACGTATCCATCCATCCATTATAAGTATATCCTAATTTTTGTCCCCCCCAAATCACCAAGACCCAGAAATCTATTGCCCCCCGGCCCCAACATACTCCGCCATCGCCTTCACCGCCCCCTCCAACCGCCCCCGCTCAATCAGAATCAAACTCCCCTTGGTCCGGATCCCCAACTCCTGGAACGCGCGCTTGGAGTCCGAGTGCCCATCGTCCTGCTTCCGGGAGTACTCGAACGAGCCCGCGCAGAGAGCATGCTTCTCGAGCACCTCGTCCTCGGGGTGGAAGAAGAACCGATCCGTTTTCCCTGCTGCAGACTTCTTCCCCTTCTTCAGGGGCCGGGACTCCTCCATGTCCAGCTTGGACTGCACCTCCTCGTAGGTCTTGGAGAGGAGGAGGTAGTGCGAGAAGTCGAAGGGCTCGTTGTCGGCGACCGCGTGGGCGATCTCCTGCTGCAGCATCGTGTACATGGGCGGGACGACCTCGGCGGGCATGTTGATGAGGCGCTCGGTGAGGAGGAGGCCGATTTTGTGGGAACCAGACAAAAGAGGGACGAGGGGGCTGAGGGCCGCGTTGGTGGTGGCTTTTTGGTGCAGGTAGTGCGTGAGGGATTGGATTATGGGTTTGTCCTTTGATTTGGGGGGTTAGTGTTTTGTGGTGGGTTGGGGTGTTGGGGTTGGTGCAGGGGGTACAGGCGCAACCGCAACTGACTTTATGTTCTTGGAGGTTGAGCACTGTTAGGAAGGCGTAGGGGTCGGATTCCTTGCCATCGGTTTTGATGGTCGAGCCCATCCAGGCTTGCGAGAGGATCAGATCGGTTAGGGCCGACATGTCGAGGTCTTGGGCGTCGTTGTCGAAGAGTTGGCGGAGGAGGTTCTTGAGGCCGTGGAAGTCGACTTCCGGGTCCGGATCGAACCATTCGAAGTCTACGTTGACCATGTCGATGTCCTTGGCGAGTGAGTTCATTGAGTTAGTTTGGTTGTTTGTTCTTTTCTGGAGAGGGTATGCTGGGATAGTGGTGTAGGCAGGCGCAAAACATACCTCGTCGGAGTCGGAGTCGTTCTCGACGCGGGGATCTGTACCCCCCATGTCGACGTCGGTGTCTTTGATTTCCTTGCGCTTGACCATTGTGTCTGTCTCCTTTGTGTCTGTGTTTGTGTGGGGTGGGAATGAATAGGTGTATATAGAGGAGAATTGATCATACAGTAAGTAGTAGTTAAGGCGGAGCGAAACAAAAAGTTGCTCGGAGCCCGGCCGCGGGTCCCCTCACTAACCGCTTTGGTTCATTTTTTTTATCGATAGGCAGTGTCTTATCGCCGATAACCATAACTTGTCGCTGGCTTCAATTTGTGGATGCCTTAGGATCTTGACGATGTCTTTGGTGTGCTTCGTGTGAGGTACACACAGACTGTCTCTCTTTGGAATAATTGTTTATTGTTCCAGCTTTGCGAGCTCATTCCACCTGCTACTATGCACTCAATGCTATGCACTCGACGCTATGTGCACTCCTACTGCGTACAGTCCGCCGAGGCGGAGTTTCAGCATTGTGTTCTCACGCAGTCGACACACCAACGATCACCAACGCTGGAGCTCATGCTTGGAAGTGACAGCTGTGTGATTGGATTCTTAAAGACTCGTTCATGAGGCACCTCGATCGTACGTATGGTGCTTTCCATCTAAGGAGAACCAACAACGAGATCACTGAGATGGTGATCTTGCAGATACCATTGGGCGGTCATGACAACCTCAATGGCAGCCCAACAAGTGACGACAACAGAGTGTGAGGATGGATTGCTTGAGGACGAGCAATCTAACGAGACAAGCTCCATCATGCGATGTGGAATGATGGATAGATCTCTTGGACACCGACCTCCGGAGCAAAGAGCTCCTAAACCACCATGATATCAGAGCATATCACCTTGTCTACGGAGGGATCAACAACTGAACATGAACAATTGAACAAGAGGTCAGTCACGCCCGCATTAACCACAAACGGGGCATGAATAAGCCCAAAGATCCGATCCAAGATCGATCCCTCCATCACTTTCCCCTGGTCGTGGACTCGGAAAAGATTCCAATCGAAACTCGCCGAGACTGACCGGGACCAGCCAGGGTCCAACCAATGTCGTCAACTGCGCCTGGAGGGAAGGAGAGACACCTCGATTATGCAACAAGCTACTGGGTAATTTACCCAGAAAAAGAGCAGCAGCACTACATCATCCATCATCAGCACGCAACAGAGAGCGAAAAAAAAAGCGGTTTTGGCACCGAGCAGAAAGTGGGTGCGGTGCGTTCCCCACCGGGGTATGATCTCAGCGACACTCCCCCATGACATCACCAACTGGGCTCTTCCTACCCTCGACAGAGGTCTATAAAGTGGCCTGCACACCACATTTCCCTCCATTCAATCAGACAAACACACCTGCGATCACAACATTTATCCCATCAACCTCAATCAATACCTCTATCTTCTTTTCATAACCACAAACACAACACAACACAACCAACCACCATGTCTACCTCCGGATCCGGTCAGTCCAGCGTCGGCAGCCGCGCCATCTACGAGGCCGGTGACCAGCGCAACGTCCCCCA